GTAGGGTCCCGTGGAGTAGATAATCAACAAGTGGGTCGACCCAACTCGGTTCTGCTTGCAACACGGGAGCGACCTCTTCTGCCCCCCCGAGAATGTTGGGCTGAGGCAGGTCTTCTATATACATTGTCCTCATGGTGTTGTCACTTGTGCTTGCCAACCTTGATAATGCGTTGGCCTTAGCATTCTCTAACTTCGGTACTTGTTGGATAAACTAGGAGAGGAATGAAGGTAGGAGTTCCCTTACTTTAGCCAGGTAAGCCATCATCGTAGGCTCCCGAGCCTCATACTCGCCGTTCATCTGGTTCACTACTAACTAGGAGTCGCTGCATACTACAATTGCTTCGTGCCGATCTCCTTTGCGATGTTTAGCCTGGCTATCAATGCCTCATACTCCGCCTCGTTGTTCGACGCCTCGAATCTGAATTGGAGAGCGTACTCTAGCTTCACCTCGCTTAGCCCATACAGTATGAGCCCAACACCACTTCCTCATTGATTAGATGAGCCATCTATGTGAAGGATCCATGGCTCATCATCCCAGGTCGGGGTTTTTCTGGCCGGGACCGGTGCCGCACTAGTTGACACCTCCGATGTCTTAACCGGCTCAGACACCTTAGGGGCCAACATGCTAAACATGCATTCCGCCATGAAATCTACAAAGACTTGAGCTTTGATTGCTGGGCGTGGCTCAAACTGGATGTTGTACTCACTCAACTCGATGACCCACTTCGTCAATCTACCTGACACCTCGGGCTTTAGTAGGATGTGCCTCAAGGGTTTGTTGGTGAGGATGATAATCGTGTGGGCCTGGAAGTAAGGGCGTAATTTCCGAGCTGCTATGACTAGTGCATAGGCCAACTTCTAGATGTTGGGATATCTGGTCTCGGCTACCTGCAAAACCTTGCTCACATAGTAAACGGGCCGTTGGACTCGGTCTACTTCTTTGATTAGTACTGAGCTAACCACCTCGTCACTCGTGGAGAGGTACAGTTTCAGCTTGTCTCCTTCCTCAGGTCGGGTTAGAACTAGTGGTGAACTTAGGTATTTCTTCAGTTCTTCAAACGTGTGCTAGCAGTCCTTGGACCACTCGAAGTCTTCATTCTTTTTAATAGCTTTAAAGAAGGGTAGGCACTGACTTGCCGACTTCGACATGAACCAGTTTAGGGCGGCTACACGCCCAGTTAACCTTTTGACTTCCTTTATTTTTTGGGGCGGTCTCATATCTAGTATGGCCTTTATCTTATTCGGATTGGCCTCGATGCCACGTCAGTTCACTTTATAGCCAAGGAATTTGCCCAACGTGACCTCGAAGACACATTTGTTCGGGTTGAGCTTCATGTTAAATTTCCTTAGAATTTGCAAAATATAGTTTAAAACATCAATTAAGGAATTTGAAAACTGGGTCTTCACGACCATGTCATCAACATAACATTCAACTTTATTGCCAATCAATGGATCAAAAACTTTGTTTACAAGGCATTGAAAAGTTACTTCAGCGTTTTTTAGTTTGGAGGGCATTACCTTATAGTAGTACAACTCTAGTTCGGTTACAAAAGTTGTTTTATCCTAATCAACTAAGTCCATCCTAATCTAGTTGTATCCGGAGTAAGCGTCCATGATTTATTTTTTATTAAATTATCCTGTATTATGTTCAATTGATTTTTATTGGATTTACTTAAGTTATTTTTATTACCTTTAATATTTATTTTATTTTTTATTAGGTTTTATGATGCTTTATTTGTATAAATTAATTTAAAAAATTCCTTTTGATTAATTGTAAAATGTGACTCATATATAACATATGGTATTGGTACCAGTTTATGTTGTACATGTGTACTACATTAACATATTCTATTAAAAACATACCATAGTGCAAAACATATCATATGTTGTGTCTCATCGCAGAATGCACCACACTACAACATATAGAACGCATGGTGCATTCTAGAACCATGGTTTTGGAACACATCATATACTAGTGTGGTGTGTTATGAGATGAGCCACACCTTTTTCACTACATAATAGAACAAGCCCTTAGACAAAAAATATAATAAAATTATATGAAATTAAAAAAAATACCTTATATACTGTCTATAAAATTTATCCTCTTAAACATAAAATATAACAAAAATTTTAAAGAAAACCAAGATACCTCTATACATTATTAACTATATAGTCAATTCAGGTCTTACTTGATTCAAAACAACTAGAACCAATTCCAACCCAATTATTAATCATAAGAAAATCACATAACCATAGCCAATTGAAAAAACTGGTTCGGTTGGTTTGAATCGATCAAGGTTGATCTAATCCATTGGCGTGCCAACGCATATAGTCCCCTGTTTGTCTTTTTGGTGAAAGGAATATTAAGGGCAATTACTCTTTTACCCCATACTGTTGATAACATGTCATGCCAAGAATGTTCTCAGAGCTGCCTAAGAAGTTTTCTCCAACCCATTGACAGCTCTAGTAGTGGGGTGGAGGCTTATTCAATTAATCAAGAGGTAGTTAAATATACTCTATGGTTTTACTAAGCTATTTAAATATAACTTGTGGTTTTGAGATGGATGAATTTGTACTCACAACTCTATAGCTGTGCATTTGAAACATCTTCATTCTAATATTTTTTAGACATAGGGAGATGCTCCCAATGCAGGGCTACAAGTGTTGTAAGGATGGTGTGGATACAAATTTTGTGGGGTGGTTCCACTTGACACAAATATGCCCTTATCAAACGTTATTTTCAGCCGTTTGCATGTGATATCAGATGTGTCTTATATTTTATTCAAATTCTACTTTTGCGTTATTATCTCCTCTTCTCTTTTTCTTGCTTTTGTAGCCGGCGAGCAAAGGTGTTGATCAAACCAGCTGCCAACCACATCGAAGAGGTATAGAGACGATGATTAATAGATTTAGGATAAGGAGGGCAAACTTCTCTAGTTGATATTAGCAATTCTGAGCTGGGGACCTGGGGTTATTGGTCAGTAGTTTCAAAGAAACCATGACCGTGTGGACTTTAGAAAGGGAAGATGAGAGTGTAAAACATCTTCCTTTGGTCGTCCTATTCAAGAAGGGTGTATCATGTGTGCATTTACTCTTGACCGAGATAATGCAGCCATAACCTTTAATAAAATCTTAAGGAGGCCACCCTTCACCTGCGGTAAATTTTGGGTTCAAAAAAATTTATAGTTTATGAACAAATAGAAGAGAAAGATTTACAGAGAACTTTGCTCTTTTGGGAAATCTTAATTCCAACAATGGTTATGGCTGCACGCTTCCCAACTTATTGTTATGAATAAAGGCATTGTTCTGCAATTACAAAGTTCAAAGTTGCTTTCCCGACGAGTTAAAATCACCGAGAAAAGGTTAGGGGATGGATAACTGGAAGAAGGAAATGGCATTTGTAATAGAGTTTGTGGAAAACTTGGTACAGATGATATGATGGAAGACTCCAAGGAACTAGATCGAAAGTTTACAGAGCATATATAAGCAGTCAAGGTCCTCAAGGACAACTACAAAATGACCAAGGAGATGTGGAGCTTACATATTCGCCCTTGTGGATTCTGGATAAGGGTGTCAATTAGACTTGATTTGGTCCAATCTGATCTGATTGAATATGAGTCAATTGCATACGGATCAGGTCCAATCCAATCTGATGAATACTTTGGACCATTTTGCACCAGTCCAATTCAATGTCTAGACCATTTAATCTGTTCAAATTGTTTCAATTTAGATTAGTTTCAACTAAACCTGATCCATTGATACCTGCATTCTTATCTTCTATCAATGAACTAGATATTGATCCAATCCGACCCAATCCAATATAAATCCATTATGAATGGATCAAGTCCAATCCAATCCAATAAATACTTTGGACCATAAATCTGAACTGGTCAAATTTAATATGCCCTGTTGGTCTGTCCAATCTGTCCAAATTGATTTTAATTTGAATGGAATCCAATCAAAAACTGATCCATTGACATCCATAATGCTGGACACTTGAATGCCATAATGCCCAACTCTACTGGGATGCCCCAGATCAATCAGGTCCCAGGGCGTAAGATAAACTCTACAACGACCTTCTCAGGCACTAGCAGCTATTTGATGAATGAAAGGATGAGAGTTCCTTAATTTTTTTTGTCCATCTTTACAGATGAATGATTACAAAGTATATTCAAGTAGCTTAGTGAGAATACAGGGTATGTTTAAGTTATTAGTCCTTTTAGACTATGTTTGGTTTGAAGGAAAATGCAGGGAAAGTAAGGAAAATGTAGGAAAATCTTTACAAACCTTGTATAGGTTCCCCTGAAGGAAAAAGTAGGGAAAGAAAAGGAAAGGAAAGGAAAGAAAACATTTACAAATCTTGTATAGGTTTCCCTGCATTTCCCTTCCTTTCCCTACTCTTTCCTTCAAACCAAACATAACATTAAGGAATAAGTAAAAGAAGGCAGAAAAAAAGGTGCGTGTACTTACCTAACCAGTAATTTTATACGAAATTACGAACTGAGCTTGGATTTTGTCTCCAAGATGAATCTAAGCCTAGGCCCAAACCCAATCAATTTTTATTGGATTTGAACTTTTTGTATTTATATCCTTCAAGTGAACCCATTCCTGTGTGTACAGAGAGGAACGTAGCTTGAAAAAGGAAGAGAATAAAAATGTTGCCAATTCATTTGTTCCCCGTCTCCAAGATGGATGGTTTGAATCTTTCAATCGTTCATGTCTGTCACATGGAGGAATGATATTGTCGTTCCAAACCATAAAGATATGTTTGCAATGCAAATCTGAACCGAATACAAAATTTACACCCAATTCAGCTTTGCAGTTTGCATCCATTTGTTTGTAATTACGATTTGTACTCCCATCCCATGCAAAATTTATCTGTTTTGTCTCATTTGCATTGCCAATTTTGGATCTAAAAAACACATGGAAAATTTGCACCACCTTCCTCCTACCTCAATTCTCTCATATGTGGGAACCACATCATCTTGCTTCCTACCTCATTGCCAAACAAATAACCTTCCTCCTACTTCCATTCTCTTTCTCATAAAGTTGGGCTATATCATTTTACTTCTCACAAACAAATAAGACAGTCAAATTTGCAGCAAAAGTAAACCAAAATTTACACTGCCTATTTGCACTACCATGCATTTACACCAATGCAAATGAAATTTACAACGTAAACAAATTAAGCCTAAGTGAACTATTTTTTATGCAACTTGTAGATCGGTTGTCCGCGGTGACTAATTTTTGTTCATAATAATTGATATTGAAAATTGAACTGCCACAATTTTTGTCCTGCGCTGAGCCTAAGCCTGTTATGCAAAGTGACATGTGGTTGAAGCAGCACCAACAGAATTTCACCAGAGCCCTGATTAAGGTCAATAATGGTCAAGTGGTACCAAGATGACTACTGATTTGAATCAATCTGGACATTTGATCAGCCGTCTGATTCTTTGTGCTGCACAATGTTTCGGAAGCCAATAGAAAAGGATGAAGTACTCAGTTTGATGCAGGTTGGAGTGGAACTAAGTTTTTACTTGATTCAAATTTTCAGAACTCCTAAAGACAGGGAAATATGCATCCAGTTCAAGTCGTTCCAGGATTTGTTGTGACATCCGAAGGTATGAGGAGTGACCTTCAATTAGTTCTGTTACATCAACCTTTGGAAACAAAACAAAAACCATTATTCTTTGAAAGATGAAGTAGGAATTAAAGGTTAGAGTGGATGATCACAGTAATCAACCATGAAAGTGAGAAAAGCATACATTTTCTATTCCAGGAACTTCAACAGGTTGAATTCCAGCTAATCCTTGTGTAAGAAGACTGCAAGAGGAAACTGACCAATTTTATTCAACAGGAAGAACGAAGAGATAAATACAACAGGAAACAGACCAAGTTTAGTACATTAAGCAGTGTATATCATTTTATAGTTGTCTAACCTATAATTAGCATCCTAATAAATGTCACATCTACCCCAGATCCCTTGGATATGCCACAAGCTCAATACCCCATTTGATCATTGGTCCATCATCCTACTCATCTAATTGACAAAGTGTTTTATGGACCACAAACCAAAGTCAAATGACTTAGAATGGTTAAGATCATCCGATCAATGATTATTAATATGGTTACGGCCCATCCAAGAGAAGCTCCATTACTTGGATTGTTATCAAAGACATCTTAACAGAATTTTAATAACAAAACAAGACTGGTATCCAAGGCCAGATAGTTATAATAAGACATTTTATTTTTCAGTTGTGCTTAGTTTAGACGTACAAAACATTGCTTTGAGACCTACTCTGCTGAAAAAACATGTGACAAAGCTTATATTTTCTATTTCAAACATTACCTTGCACGGAAAGCAATTCCAAGCATCCAATCACTTGTGGAATAAGCATTAACAAATCTCCCAGCCACCATCTGCAGAGCATTACCAAGTCAAAAAAGAAATTCTAGAGCATTGCGTATGCAGTGGAGAAATAATTGCAGTACAAAAAGTTGAAGAGATGGTAAAGCGTTTCTAATACCCTTCGAGCAGTCTCCCAGTATTCATCTTGAATTGGAACTGGTGCCCCAAGAAGAACAACCCTTTCTACAACTGAACCTGCAGAAACATTGGAGTTGATTAAGAAATATTCAACCAATTTAATGCATAAATGCTATGGATTTTCTGGTACCTCCTTCAATTTCCATCCTAGCCAAATACTTTAGACATTTGAAAACCACACGAGCTCCAAGTGAAAACCCTATAAGTGTCACAGGTCTGAAGCAAGGATTTACAGAGCCAAGGGCTGGTAAATTAATGTATAGAAACCAAAAGGTTTCAAAGCAACAAAATATGAATTTTCTTGAATTTGGATACGACTCAGATACCTATTTCCTTGTAATCCTTTCGCTAGAACTTCAGCAAGCAGCTTTCCTGCTTTGTCTGATCTAGAAAAGGCAGAAAATAAAAACTAATAAGAAATAACTAACCGAAGAACTTTAAGTGTTACTATTACACACAATGCAGTTGACCTTAATTTCCAATGCAGCATTTCAAGCCAGAGGACTACTGTAGGACGGTAGGAGAGCTGCCTCTCCTCCCATCTAATGCAGCGTGTTATTCAGTTAACAACCATAGATTCAAACCTGTCTACTGCGATTGTCCATTTGCTATCTATAAAATCAGTAGCTGCAAGTAAGGTTGCGGGCCATGCCAATGCAGTTAAAAGTGAGCTTAGTACAGTCATCATGGCACCTTGTTTCATCAATTCCATTGCAATTCCTGAAGCAGGTAAGAATAATGTCAACAAATGACGTCACTGTGTCAACATGGAAACTGATGTAGCAATTTATGAGGTTATCCAAGCCAATTACTTGAAGCCAACCAATCCTGGATTGCGGTGCTCAATAGTATCAGATTCTTAGATTCCCACCTTAGCACATACCTATAAAATTGCAGCAGTGTTACCAGGGAGAGGGAAAATAGCATGCAGAGAAATAGAGCACATTGAAACTAATACATTCTCATTTGAATCAGTAGATCAGAATATTATTATTAATAAAAGGGGAGGGAAAATAACACAGAGAAATAAGAGAACACCGACACCCTCTCCAACAAGAGAGAGAAAGAGATAAGATATTCAGTCTCCTACCCTCGTGGTACCCTACAGCCAATCCTGTATCCAAGTTGAAATCCTTGGCACATAGAGAGAACCAAAAAAGAGAACAAGACATAACACCTTGTAAGTATCCCAAGAATGTTAGACCTCAATGGTCACAAAACAACCATAAACTCCTTCCACAAGACATTTCATTAAGGCCTCAGTTTATTTGAACCTGAGTAAATGCAGAGGAGTGCAAGTTCTGGTTACTTTTGCTTCAAATTTGAGTTTGTCATGTTTGTTTGTGAGAAATAAAATGATGTGGTCCCCACTTAATTCTCTCTCATACCAAGTGGGGACCACACCGTTTTACCTCCTATCCCTCCCAAACAGAATAATTTTATTAGAAAAGATTATTTGTTTGGGAGGGAAAATGATGTGGTCGTCACTTAATGAAAGAATTAATGTAGGAGGAAGGTGGTAAAAATTTTGCATCAGATTTTTAGGCTGCATTTGGGAAGAGTGCAAATGCTGAACTTAAAGGAATTTACACTCTAGTTCAGTTTTGCAGGCATTTGGTAAGAATGTGTCTTTGTACTGAAAATGAAAGTAAACTTTTTTTTGACACTTTTGCACTCAAAGTTGGTCAATGTAAAAAAGATAGATTCCAGTCTTGAAATTCATGTTTGTACCTATCACAACCAAATACATCTGATAAGCTGTACATATTTGCATTTGCACTCTTACCAAATGCAGCCTTAAATGCAAAATTGCAATTACAGTGAGTACAACTGAAACAAAGTGCAAAATTTTCAGCAGGTAGAAGTGCAAATCATAGTCACAAACAAATTGATGCGAAACAGAACCAGGTGCAAACTTTGTATCTGGTTCAGATTTGTACTGCCAAAAGACAGGCTAAACCCACAGTTTTCACATACATGAAAATAAGCAATGGGTCGCTTCTGCATCTACAGCTAAACCCCACAGTTTGTTGGCAGTGAGATCCAACCCCACCAAACAACATAAAGTTGAACTTTAACAGATGCAGCCTAGGCCATCTGGGTCCTTCAGATGTTAGGGGGGATCTTTAGATATATGGCTGTGGTTGAATCTTGGTGATGTTCTTGGACCCATTGGGCCAAGGGAATTCCATAATGGCAGAATTTCTAGCAGTGGATTGAGTTCTACATTGATGAAATCCATTAACATTAGCTCTTTGGTGGTGGAGGGAGACTGAAAAGTAGTTGTCTGGTTAAAGGTTAAACTGCAAAGACCCATGGCAGTACAGATATACTTCCTAAGAAATAAGAGCAAAAAAGCTGATTCCTGTTCCTGTCCCTTTCTAGGTAAAACCAAAAGCTTGCTTGTAATTCAATTCAAGGTAAATCTATTAGTTCAAAATATCCAAACGAGAAACAACACAACAAAAGTATTGTACTATCATGTAGCCGGTGTTACTCAGTTGACTGCATTACCTTGCCCATCATTTTGCACTCATTCACAAGCCACAATAGTTTGTAAGAACAAATTTTAACTAGTTTTTTCTCCTACAGTTGCAGATTGAAATTGTTGAACTTTTCAAAATAACAACAATCATGATGACAAGGAAAACAATAAGGAAGATCTTCAAAAAATTGAAACACATTTGCGTTTGATGATTTGAGTTTTCTAAATTAATGTATAAACAGAAAAGAACATAATGAAAGGGAAGAAACGCTAATCAAACTGAGCATGATAAATGTAACATGTAAGGCAACACTGAAGAGTTCGTAAATATAGTTTACCTCTCTAAGTTGAATTCTCGTCCTTCCCAAGGCCTTATAAAATCTTTCTCCTCGAAAACTAGTCCAGAAACGAAGATACCAACAGACAGGCACTGAAAATGGGAAAAGTCCATCAAAAACAGAAATCAGAAGCCATAGATCACATTTAATAAAAACTTGGTTATGGATTTAAGTGAAAAGTAACCCTTTGGAAATACCACCAACAACTGAAAGGCAAGAACAACTCACGCCTTGGTTATGATTCTTTCCAATAGCTTTGAATTCAAATTCATCAACACTTCCAATTCTTCTAGCCGTTTTATACCCAGTTAACCCAGCTCCAGCCGCTAAGTTGGACAAAGCAAGCATAAGAAGATGATATGAACGTTCCATTTGATGCAGTAATTATCTATATAAAAAGAAAAAGACAAAAGGAAAAAAGTGAAATCATGACTGTTAGAATTAGTTGACAGGGGCGTACTTGTCTTTTTCTGGTTACTATTTTCTCCCTTATATCAGTTTTACTTGTCTGGGGGCATTGTTGTAATTTGAGCTGTTCATGAATGATATTACATACTAGGTCGACAGTAGGGGGAGTTTAGTTCGACTTTCATCATCCCTTTCTCCTCTTCTACCTCTTCTCTATTTTTCTTCATTGCTTCCTTTTCTTTCCTTTAACTTCACTACACTTTTGAAGCTAGCACATGGTATCAAAGCAGTAAAGCCAACTGTCACTATTGACGTCTCTCTCTTTTGTGCCCTAGGAATAGAGAATACACTATTCTTTGTAGGAAGGGAAGAAGACACAAAAGGACTGATAGCCCCTTTGGAAAAGAGGCTTTAATGCCTCATGTTGTAGTTTTGTGAGTTGGTGGTGCTTCTCTAAGGTCCCTCTACTTGGTAGTTTGAAGAGGGCATCTTTGTGGTGTCTCGACTTGTGTGGTGATTGATCCTCAATGTGTGGTGATTTTGGTGTTTTGTTTTAAGTGAAAAAAATGCTACAGTAGGTGTATATCAGCTGTTTGACGGTTTGCTTAAGTGAAAAATCAGTAATTTCTTCTCAAACTCATGGCTTCATCAAGTGGTAATACTAAACCTAGTGTAGTTGTGCAATCAGACCTCATGAATTCAAAATTAACCACCATGAAACTTAATGGTACTAATTATATACCATAGGCTAAGTCGGTTAAGGTGTCTCTCATGTTTCTAGACATGGCCAAGGACATTTGGGACCATGCGAAGCAGTTGTATTCTGGACAAGATAATGTCACAAGAATATACCAGCTGTATTAAGATTATTTTTCCCTTCAACAGCAGGATAAAAGTGTTGAAGAATATCATCCTTCCTTAAAAAGCCTAAGGAATGAAGAGAACACCTAGATGTTAGATGGTAGTGACTATGAAGATGTGCAGGCCCAAATCTTAGATGGTAGTGACCTTCCATCCTTATTTGAGGCTTTCTCCTGCATAACGAGAGCCCGAACTCCACATAGTGATCATGTTCCATCTTTAGGGAGATCAGCCATGGTAGCTTCTAGAGAAGGTTTTACTGGGAAAGTATGTGTGGTAGAAGTGGAGGTAGTGTGAGAGGCTTTGGCCATGGACCCAAAGGTGAAGGTGGTGGTGGTAGAGAGGTAGGAGGTGCAAGAAGTGGTGGTGGTCGTAGTTCAGCTCATGAGTGCTCACATTGTGGATGAGAAGGTCACATAGTCAGCTTTTGTTATGATCTTTATGGTCCATCACCTTCTTGGGCCAACCATGCTATGGTGGAAGGTGATTTTGGGAGCCATAGTGTGACTGAAGGGGATATCTGAAGGGACAAACATAGAGGAAAGAGGGCTCGGCTGGGCATGCTGAGATGTTGAAATGAGAGAGGGAGAAGACACTGATGACATGGCTTCATGAGAGCAAAAAATGCTATATGAAAGAAGGGCTGAGAGTTCTCCATTGGGTAAGGGAGAAAACAGAGGCCATGTGACGTGGCATTGACTACTTTAGTATATAGTGTAAAAGATACTGTAAATAAGATACATGATAACATGCTACTCCCAACCAAGTCAGCCCATACTATCCCTACACCCCCCCTCAAACTAATGCCAAGGTAGAAGCATTAGTTTGTCAGCTAGGAACTTGTAGCAAGGACGCATCATAACTTTCGTGAAGATGTCAACAAGTTGAAGACCAGGCAGAACATGGGGAAGAATGATGGTTCCAACAAGGAATTGATCTCTGATGAAGTGACAATCAACCTCTATGTGTTTAATGCAATCATGAAAAGAGTGATGATTCCAACAAGGAATTGATCTCTGACATTATCTGCATGGATGGAAATAGGGGTCAGAAGCTGAATATGAAAATCACCAAGAAGAGCTCTAAGCCACATAATTTCACTACAGACAGAAGACATAGCTTGATACTCAGCCATAGTGGAGGACTTGGAGACAATTTATTGTTTCTTGCATTTCTAGAAAGTAAGAGAATCACCCATGAATACACACTAGCCAATAGTAGATTTTTAGTGTCAGGGCATCCAACCCAATTTACATCAGCATAGGCTGATAAATGTAAAGATGATAACGATGAGAAGAGTCCATGGGAGATGGTACCCCTAATGTACCAAATGATTCGAAGGACCGCGATCATATAATTTGAGCTTTGTCATGGTGAGGTGTATGAGACTACCAACAAGTGAGGCAAGCAAGGTGAAGTAAATCCATAACATACTCTTGCTGATGTACGAAATACCCTTGAGGGGAACGAGTCAATTCCAGCCCTATAAATTAGGTCAAAGGATCAAGATCTTTCATCTTAAATGAGTGACTCAAGAGATCCTTGAGGAGAGAAATGCCATCATGATCATCACTGGTATTAAGTATATCATCAATATACAGAAGAAGAGATTGATTCCTTGAGTCTACTTCAAGATGAAGAGAGAATAGTCGGAAGGACTTTGTATAAACCCATCCATCATATGTAATGATAGAATGAAATCTTTCAATCCAAGCTTGAGGTGCCTGTTTCAGTCCATAAAGAGTTTTCTTGAGGTGGAAAACCATAGTTGGATCATCACAATATCCAAGAGGCTTAAAAAAAAACTGTTTCTTTTAAGTGACCATGAAGGAAAACATTCTTACCATCTATTTGATGGATCATGGATGTCACACTGGTTAATTACTGATATAGTCAAAACCAATCAGACTGTCATCATCTTTGCAACTGGTGCAAAGGTCTCCTCATAATCTAAACTCTTGTTGGCTGAGCGAGCTTTGTATCTATCAAGACTACCACATGATTTCAGATTGATGGAATATGCCCATCTATTGCCAATGATTCAGGCATTTGAGCGTGCAGGAACAAGATCCCAAAAGGAAGTAGGTGCTTCTACCCAAAAGAAACAAATTAACGAGGTATACAACAATGTTGGATGCTTACACCCAAAAGCAAGTAGGTGCATGGGAGTCTTGCAAAAAGGTTCTCACAACACTCAATGTGTCCATTCTTCCGCTCCACCACCCCATTTTGTTGTGGGGTCCTAGAACATGATCTTTGTGATTGAATTCCTTTCTCTCTCAAGTAGGTCTGAAAGTCTCCATCGAGGTATTCCTCCCTGAGTTTGATCAAAAAACACCAATACTGGCACCAAACTGATTTTTAGCAAGAAATTGAATCTGACTTTGTCTTAAAAAATATATCCACGTCTATCTATCTATCTATCTATCTATCTATCTATCTATCTATCTATCTAAAGTGATAAGCAATCACTCGAGGGAAAAGAAACTCCCAGTGACAACCCAACTAAAGTAAAACAAAACCCAGCCAAGCCAAAAGTAGAAAACTGCTAAACAAAAGAATCTGTAAAGAAAAAGATATTTCTTGAAGAAGAAGAAGAAGAGAAAGAGAAGAGAAGAAATTCAAAAAGAAAAGAGAGCTATTATCTGGCCTCCCTCCTCACTAGCATTTATACTATTAATTAAAAAGGGTACAATGACTAATATGCCCTTATAGGGCGGCTAACACATAAAACTGCATATATAACTTAAAAGATCCACTGAAAAGGGACCCAACAAGAGTGTCGTGGTCCCCACTTCCTATCTAAGCAATAAATAAACAGAAACAACTACTAATTCTGAACAAATCTGCCCAAAACCTTTACACTCCCCCTCAAGTTGGGAGTAAATGTCACACATTCCCAACTTGCGTAGGTCATGTTCAAGCTTGTTCTAATCAACACTAGTGATCTACTCCAAAAGAAGAGACCCAATACTTGCTTGTCACCTCAGTGGTGTATTCTGTGTAAAGCAGATGGGGAGACTGGTTTTCACCTAATGGTGTCTTGCCACTTCGCGAGGTCATTGTGGGATTGGGCTTTCTCCTTATTTGGGTGCAGCTGGAATCCCCCATCAGACATGCAGGGCCTTTTCTCACCTTCCTTT